TGTTTTGAAAATGATGATGATGGCAACAATGTACAAATGTGCTGGACACAATGGATGGATGGGTGGATTGTGATAGGAGTTGTACAAGCCCCCAGTAAAATGATTAAAACAACAACCACCACAACAGAAAAGACTCACGTTCTCGGGAACCACAGGGGAAGTCCTACTCTCCTGGTGGGTCACGGTGAGTCAGAAAGGGCTTGAGGGCAGGCGTGCCATTCAATTCTGGAGTGACAGCTGTCGGGTCTGTAGCCTGCCCTCTTTGTTGGTGGCTGCTTCACTGCATGGTGGCATATCTTTTAGGAGCACTTACGAATGGGTTCAAGGGTACTTCGTGTGTCTTTTATGACTTGGTGTTAACACTGTCTTTAGTCTACTCTCTCTTATGGTCATAAAAATCCCTACTGCCATGAAGCTGATTCAGACCCGCCGTGCCCCTATATAGGATTTCGGAGGCGGTAAATCTTTCCAGGTGCAGATACCCTGAACATCCTCCCACTGAGTTGCTAGCCCGAGGCTTACTGGTCAGCACCACCAAGGCTCAGTAAATCTATAGGAGCAGAAAGTCTTATCTTTTCCCCTAAAGTCGCTGGCAGTTCAAATGACCAAATTTATGGTTAGCAGCTGACATATACAAACCCTCTGTGCCCCAAGTGCTCTTTCATATGGTCACAGTTTGTTCAAATATGGAATTTTAGTTTGAAAGTAACTAGTTTTCAGAATTGTAAAGATAATTTTTTTTCTTAATTTCTTCTAGGTTCTAATGTTGGTCTTGGAACGTCTGATCTCATTCAGATGTCCAACTATTCACCCCTTTCTGGAAGCTTTTAGAATCTTCTATTATGTCCAGTGATCTGACGTTTTTTGTCGACGATCCTTTGTGCTTGTTTTTGTTCTTGTTTTCCTTGTTCATCATGTAAGAGAGACTGTTAAAACTGCAAACTCTACACTTCAGCTCTGGGAATTGTTCTCATCTGATGTTGTAAAATAATTTTTACCCTTCCGTTTTCCCTGTTGTCTCTTCTAGAGCTCCTATGATTTGGATGTTTGCCTTTATCTTCTTCTTTCGAAAATAATATCTCTCTGTTTTTTTAACTGTTTTTTTTAGACAGTTCCAGAAAAGTATGTTTCTACTTCCCACTCCCCCTTCTGCTTATCTGTTTGGCTTGCTGTTTTGTCTTTCATGATGTTGGCTTTGCTCAACTGTCCAGTGATCTTTGGCTGTCCATTTATATGAGGGGGCCTGAAAGGAAGTAAAAATATTGGCTGTTCAATTGACTGTTTTCTCCACTACAGGGTTATCCATAAGCACCTAGCCACTTTCTTAAGTAAACCTAACCCTCCATTGAAGGAGCCCGGCAGCATAATGGTTACACTGGGCTGCAAACGGCTAGGTTAGCTGGTGGTTGAAAGTACCAGCTGCTCCCTGGGAGAAAGACAAAGCCTTCTATTCCTGTCCAGAATTACAGTCTGTAAGCAAACTATAGAGACAGAAAGTGGATCAATTAGATTCAAAGGGACCTCTACAGGAGGCTGGCAGGGAATGGGGAGCTAACAGCAAGGAGTACAAGGAAAGAGAAATGTCCTGCAACTGGTTGTAGTGATGGTTGCACACCTCTCAGGAATGTGATTGAACTATTGAAATATATGTATAATTCTTAAAAATAAACAAATTACTAAAAAAAAGAAAAAGAAGAGTTAGAATGTAGGAAACCCACAGAGCAGCTCTCCCTGTCTCATGGGGTCCCTATGAGTCAGATTCAACTGGGTGGCTGGGAGGGTTGTTTGTTTGTTTTCCTATGAAAGGAGCCCGGTTTTACACTTGATATGTGCTAGGCTGCCAAACTCAAGGTTGGAAGTTTGACCCCAACAGCCATTTTCAAGAGAAAGACATGACAGCTTGCCTCTAAAGATTATTCCCTTGGAAACTCTATGGGGGCAGTTTTACTCTGTCTGTAGGGTTGTGGTGAGTCAGAATTGACTCAAGGCAATGGATTTGTGTATTGTCTTGTGGTCGATCCTCCCCTCTTGTCCCAGGCAGGAAGAGACTGAGGCTGGCTGCTGTGTGTTCGGCGTGATTTATTTGACCTCCCTCCTGTTGCAGTCCCTCATCGTACTCCCGCTCTGCTTTGTGTGAGTGTCCTCTAGCCTGGACCCTCTTTGGCTCAGTCCCTCGGGAGGTTAAATATCCTGCATAGGGTACGGGGGTAGTCGCAGGGTTACATACAGTGAGGGTACAAGTCCTCCGGGTCTGTGTTCTACCACTGTTGTGAGAGGTGTCTGTTACTTCCAACTTTTCACTATTTCCCAAAGTTCTGAAGTGCGAATCAGCATGCTTCCTATGGACTTCTCCTTGTCGTGCAGTTAGGTTTCAAATATCTATGACCTGCTAAGACAATTACCATTTGACATCTGGTTTCTATCATAGGCGGGAAATGTCTTTTTTGGGGTTGAGGCTTTATACCGTATTTGTATTATTGTATTACCATTTTATTGAAGCTTTGGAAAGAGAACATGGAAAGCTATATATTCAATTTTCCATGGTAACCAGAATCTCTTCATATTTTTTTCTTTTCAGTGAAAGATGAAATTCCTAAGCCATTTGAAGAAGCACAGAAATTTGTCAGGTAAATTTTCCTTTACACACTTCTTTGTACATTGACTTGCCAGAAGGATTATTTCTTTAAACTGTTTATATTTTTATCACCATTGGATTTTCCTTTTTTCCAATATCTAGAAAGGGTAGTAGATCTCTTTTCCCCTTACAATACCTTTTTAAAGTGTTGTTTTAAAGGAAAACTTTGAAATGACTGAGTCCTGCCTAAACGATCATGTTAAAATTGAATATGACTATATTAAACTGCCTATTTAAGATGCTCTGGCAGGAGCTCTGGTGGCATCATGGCTATGTGTTGGGTTGTTAACACAAGGTTGGCAGTTTGAGACCCCCAGCCACTTTGGGGAGATAGATGAGGCTTTCCACTTTCATAAAGAGATACAGTTTCAGAAACCCAGAGAGCCAGTTCTACCCTGCCCTATAGGGTTGCGATGAGTCGGAATCATCTTGATGACGGTGAGTTTGTTTTTGTGAGTTTAGCTATGTAGTGGAAGGCAGTCATTCAAACCTGCTAGTGTCTCTGACGGAGAAAGCCATGGCGATCCACTTCCAAGACTTACAGCCTCGGAAACCCAAAGGGACAGTTCAGTTCTGTCCCATAGGGTCACTGTGAGTCAGAGTCCACTCGATGGCAGTGAGTTGTGAGGGATTTTTGTTTTGCAATGAAAAATAAAGCAACATAAACACTGAGTATTATAGATTACAAAATTCCAAGTTATTTAGGAGATAAAATTATAGAAGATAATGCTAAGTGGGTAAAAGACATTGCACCATTTGAGAGACAACTCGACAAGGTTGCGATTCAGCCTTGTACACTTAAACATTCTATGGGTGTGATGGATATATAATCATTTGTCAATTTGAGGATGAGGAGTATAGGGGTGGAGTCTAGCTTGTCAATCAGATCATAGCCATTGAGGCCTCTGTGTGGGCGTGGCCTTCTAAGAATTCTGGGAAATCCAGTAATTCCTCCTTGGAGGCAGGAGACACTTCTCTCTCTCTGCTCACACCCTGGGAGACAGCAAATGCAAGACACATGGACTCACCCTGATGCAGCCCTGTGTGCAGAGAGCCATGCAGAGACTCCTGCTAGTGCTGAGATGTTTCCAATGCCACTGGATCCAAAGACTTTCTACCCACTGGTCTGTGATCTTCTACATTTGGCATCATTGTGTGTGTTTTGTGAGTCTGAAGAGGACTTTATAGATTGATATCGGACTCTTGTATATAAATCTCTTTCTTATACACATATGTGTGTCCATAGATTTGTTTCTCCTGTGTACCCAGACCAACACAACGGGCCTACACACTGACACTGGGTTCTACAGGGTTGTGTTGAACATTTTCTCTGCCAACGAGATATAGAAAATAGCCAACTAACTAGTGTTGAAGTAATACTTCCACTCAGGCTTTCCTGACTGGCCCTGTATGACAGATGAGTACAGTTAGGTAGCAATTTGCCTTCAGTTGGTGAGTAGTTCAATAGTTTGGGTTTCAGAAGTGGGATATTATCATTAGGCCCTAATAGTTGATTTAGACTCTTTAGTGACCCCCCCCCCCATCTTGCAGAGTAGTACATCCCTCATAGGATTGTATAGACTTTCATCCTTATAGGAGGGCGCCCTGGTGACAGAGTGGGCAAGGTGTTATGCTATTAACCACACGGTCAGCAGTTTGAACTCATTCACCAGTCTGTGGGAGAAAGATGAGGCTGTCTGCTCCTGTAAAGATTTGCAGTCTTGGAAACTGCCTTCAAGAAAGCCATCACCATCAAGTCCACTCCGACTCGTCTAAAACTCGCTGCCTTTAAGTCACTTCTGACTCATCAAGACCCTGTAAGACAGGGAAGAATTTCCCCGAGAGTAAAAAGACTCCTCTTTCTCCTGAGAAGTGCCTGGTGGTTTCAAACTGCTGACCTTGAGGTTAGCAGCCTGACACAAAAGCACTATGCCACCAGGACTCATAGGGACCCGATATAGAGTTCCCAGCACTATGCACTTTGATAGAAGTAGACAACCGTATCTTTCTCTCATGGAGCAGCTGGTGAGTGTGAACTTCCAGCCTTGTGCTTCACAGCCCAGCATGGACCCAACAGCACCACCAAGACTCCTCTGAGAACCCCTGCGAGCCCCCAAACCAAACTCACTGCTAACTCATAGCAATCTTACAGGACAAGGTATTACAGGCCCCGTGAGTTTTCGAGACTGTAACTCTTTTCGGGAGTAGAAAGCCCTGTCTTTCTCCTGGAGGAGTGGCTGGCTGACCTTGCGGTTAGCTGCTCCACACAACCGCTATACCACCAAGGCTCCCTTGCGATTCTAATGTGATGCATTAGCATCCACCAGATGGCAGTGGTCTGGTTTAATCCTCATAGGAGCAGATTGCCAGACCTTTCTCCTGAGGAGCCTCTGGGTGTGTTCAAAACACTGACTTTTCCTTTTGCAAGAAAGCACCTATTTGCCAACAAGGAGAGTAGAAATACCAGGAAGATTAGGGGAGGGTGGGGGGAGCAAGGGGGAATCAATCACAGGGGTGTACCCTCCCAGGGGTACACATAATGGAAAAGTGGGTGAGGGGTGATGGAGAACAACGTAAGATATGGAAAAAATCATCTATAATTTATCAAGGGTTCATGAGGGAGGGCAGAGGAGGGAGGCGGAAGGCATGGGGAGCTGATATCAGGGACTCAAGTGGGAAGAGAATGCTTTGAAAATGATGATGGCGGCATATGTGCACATGTGCTTGACACACTGGATCAATGTATGGATTGTGATAAGAGATGAAAGAGCACCCAATAAAATTATTTAAAATTTTAAAAAAAGAACACCTATTCATTGTGGCTCCTTAGAAAGTGTCACACCCCCAAAATGCGAGGAGACAGAGTTGTGCGGCAGAAGGATACATTCTTTTACTTTTGAACGAGAGGTTATGGAAGATAGCACCAAAGTGGGTAAATAAGAAAAATATCAAACAAGTATACGGAGAATTGAATATGGTAATTAGTAAGGATTTCTCTCAGGAGGTGATATTTAAGCTGAGAGATAAATGATAGGCAATCTGTCATGTGAAGTTTAAGAAAGGAGCATTCTATGCAGAAGGAATAAGTAGTACAAAGACCCTAAATTGGCTGTGAGCTTGGTGTGGTAGAGGGTTGGGGAAAGGCCAGGGCAGCTGGAACACAGCACAGTAAGAGTCAGTGAGGGCAGGTGATGAAGTAAAGGAAGTGGGCAGGGGCCAGATCACTTGGGGCTTTATAAACCTGGCATGGGATTTGGATTTTAATACACTTTCAGTAGAAATTAAAATATATTAGGTTACATTTTTTTTGTTTGTTTTGTTTTGTTTGTTTTTTAACATTTTATTAGGGGCTCATACAACTGTTATCCCAATCCACACACACATCAATTGTGTAAAGCGCATTTGTACATCGTTTCTCAAAACATTTTCTCTCCATTTAAACCCCCGACATTAGGTCCTCATTTTTCCCCTCCCTC